GGCGGAGGCAGGAGGCCTAAGGAGGAGGCAGGAGGAGAAGGAGGCGGAGGAGGAGGGGGAGAAAGATGGAGACGAGGAGGAGAAGGAGGCGGAGGGAGAGGAGGAATTTGGAGAGGGGAGGAGGAGGAGGAGGAGGAGGAGGAGGAGGAGGAGGAGGAGGAGGAGGAGGAGGAGGAGGAGGGAGAGGGAGAGGGAGAGGGAAAGCAGCAGGAGGAGGATGACGCAGGATGCAGGAGGCAGGAGGAGCAGGGTGAATTGGGGGAGTGGGCATAGCGTGGAGGAGGAGGAGGAGGAGGTGGTGGTGGAAGAGGCAAGAGGAGCAGGCAGGCGTTGAGGCAGGAGGAGGAGGCAGGAGGAGAAGGGGGAGGCAGGAATAGGTGTGATAAGGGAGTGAGCAGGAGGAGATCCCCAAGCAAGCAAAACATATTCTCACGTGTGGTCCCACCGTCGGAGTAATCTCAACCAGTTTCCAGGTGACCCACCACCCGCCCGTGGGTCACCTGTGTGGTGCCTGCTTCGTGCGGGAAACGCACTGAGGGTATTACTTACGCGCGGCAGTGTTGGACCAGGATACAGTCGGGGCCCTGAAGAAGGAACCCTTTTGGTCGGGGATGGGCTCCGCGTTCCTTAAGTGTTTCGCAGCTTGCCTCAGGTTTTCCTTGTGTCTTCGATAGGAACTCGAAGTTTAACTTATGGAGAAAAAGGGGGCCTCGTTCCTTATGTAGGGTTCCTTAGGTCAACGCCCCGACTGTATGTTCTACGCTCGGTTGGCCCTGGGCAATACCGCGAGCTACCCATCGCCTGCACGCAGCGTGGGGCAGGCCACACGCTCGCTGGGCGCGTGCCCCCCCTGCGGACGGGTGCGCCGCGCGCCCCTGTTTGGCAGCCGAGATCTCTGCGCGCTCGCTTGCGGCGACTCTCCGCGGAGGAGGCCGCGGGGCGCGGGGGCAGACGCGCCCCGCGAGCCCTGCGCGTTTTTTGGGGGCGCCGCCGGGTGGCCGCGGCCGCGAGGTTTCGGGTCGCTCTGCCGCGGGGGGGTGGTTTGCGCGTTTTCTCGCTCGTGCTGTCTGCGGCCGCTCCCGGGTGGCTGCCCCCGGCGGCTCCTGCACGGCCGTGGGAGGCTCCTTGGCGCGCTGGCGTATCGCAGCGGCCGCAGCGCGAGCCTGTGAGGACAGTCTCCCGACCCATGACGTCGTGCCGCTCCCCCCCCCCCGCACACAGCCAAAAAAACTCTTGCTCTCTTTTTTTTTTTTTTCTCCAAGTCAGCAACGCAACGAAAGCTGTACACAGTTTTGACTCCAAGCGCCGGGATAACTGCCCGAGTTTCCGCCCCATCGACGTTCACTCTGGACAAAAAAAAAAAAAACTCTTGCTCTCTTGTCCTCTGCCGTGGCGACGGGTCGCTCTGCCGCGGGGAGGGGTGGTCCGAGCGGCCCCCTCGCCTGCGGCGTCCGCGGCCGCGCCCTCGCTCTCTGGTCCGCTGTGGCGACGGGTCGCGCGGCCGCCCCCGCCCCGCGGGGGGGGGGGGGGGGCGCGGGCGGCGCGCCGTGCTGCGTTTTTTACGCGGTGGGTGGTGCCGCCAGCTGGATACAGTGATGAGCGTGTTTTCCACCACCACCACCATAAGTTGGAGGGGGGGTCCTCCCTCCTCCTCCTCCTCCTCCTCCTCTCCTCCTCCTCCTCCTCCTCCTCCTCCTCCTCCTCCTCCTCCTCCTCCCCCTTCGCCCCATCCAACTTATGGTGGTGGTGGTGGAAAACGCGCTCATCATACAGTCAACCCGCATAGCATGGACGGGCAACCATCCCAAGGGTACCTTCGCATCCCTGCATCCTCGGTGCACCTCGGCCACTGTCGTCGGCCGCGCCCCGCTCGGAGAGTGTCGGCATGGCCTTCCAAGGCCCTTTGCATCCTCATCGAGCGTCCTCGTGATACAGGTCGGCTGTACCGCTGGTGCACTCTCCGGTGTGTGCCCCCCCTCGCGAGGCTGCGGGTCGGCCGCAGGTGGCCGCGGTCGCGGCCTCGGCAGGATGGTCTCGCGTCCCATGCTTCTCGGAGGCCGTGCCACCGTCGGAAGGATCCCGTGTCCGGTCGCGGGTCCTGCGCAATGAATCCCGCCTGTGATTTGCAGGGGGATCTGGTCTCAGGAACGCGAGCCCGGCGCAGTTTGCACCAGAGCTTGGCAGCGGGAGCGCGAATCTTTCAGATGCTTTCGTGTATCCTGGCCGCTGGAGCGAGACCCCGGCGCAATGTGCAAGCGCATGTGTTTCTCACCACCCACCAAAGCACCCCAACCCAACCCGAAGGCCTCAATTTGCCCTCCATTTCCAGTTTGGGGGGGTCGGGGAACATCGAAAAAACACGTATGGAACCCGTACCCCCCCCCAACCCGAAATTCGGGTCTTCGGGTTGGGTTGGGGTGGTCTGGTAGGTAGTCAGTTTCGGGAGCGCGAATCCGGTGTGTTTCATTTAACATGGACTGTGGCCTCGGGAGCTCGAACCTGTCGCAATTTGCAAAAAACAAATTAAAAAAATGTTTGAATGTGCATCCATCTGTCGCAATTTGAAAAAAAGGTTCTGGCCTCGGGGGCGCGAGTCTGGTGCAAAGTTCTTGGGGGGTGTTCTGGCCTCGGGAGCACGAACCTGGCGTCCTGTGCGAAGGGGTCTGGTCGCAGAGGCGCAGATCATGCATGCATGAAGTATGCACGATCAGTGGCCTCGGGGGCGCGACTCACAAATCTTTTCACTTGTCCTTGGAGCCCCCAGGGAAGTCTGGGAACCCCAGGGGGGGGTCAGCGAAAAACAAGGTTTCGGCTCCCCCCCCTTTGCGAGGAGAGCAACGACATACAGTAGGAAGCACGAGCCGTACTGAAATTGGAAATTTGATGCTGGTGCAGGAAGCAGGAGACCTCCGCCACGCCGCCACGCAGCCTGATAGTCCCAAGAGGGGGGCGGCGGATCTCCCTTCGTCTTCAGCATGATATTAAGCCCCTTCTCAGACTTTCTCTCTCATCCTCGTACCCTCCTCCCCCTTCCTCTACCCCGCATACGGATGCGCTCGCGTCGCCGCGCTCGAAGGGCAGTGGGCGTCGTCGTGGACCCCATCCAGTCCGTGAAGGGGAAGGTCGTCATCGACTGCTTCAGGCGCCGAGCAGTGCAGCGAAAGGGATCGTAAGGATGAGTAGAGGGCTCGTGGCGTCTTGCGTCGGCGCACGTTGTGCGTGCGCGGGGGCAGCAGCTACCGCACAGTCGGTCCAATACTCTCTCTGGGGAATCGGGCGTCGGACAAGGATCAGGAGGAGAAGAAACACACAGACACAATTCATCCTCGATTCCTCAGGAAATATGGGAAAATATGGGCAGTAGGGGGGAAGGCAGAAACCCCAACAATGTGGGAAACTATGGGACATATGTTTTATGTGTGTGTGTATTTATTTGTGTGTCCCCGGGCCCATGCACAATACTCTCTCTGGGGAATCGGGCGTCGGACAAGGATCAGGAGGAGAAGAAACACACAGACACAATCAATCCTCGATTCCTCAGGAAATATGGGAAAATATGGGCAGTAGGGGGGAAGGCAGAAACCCCAACAATGTGGGAAACTATGGGACATATGTTTTATGTGTGTGTGTATTTATTTGTGTGTCCTGGGGCCCATGCACAATACTCTCTCTGGGGAATCGGGCGTCGGACAAGGATCAGGAGGAGAAGAAACACACAGACACAATCAATCCTCGATTCCTCAGGAAATATGGGAAAATATGGGCAGTAGGGGGGAAGGCAGAAACCCCAACAATGTGGGAAACTATGGGACATATGTTTTATGTGTGTATTTATTTGTGTGTCCCCGGGCCCATGCGCAATACTCTCTCTGGGGAATCGGGCGTCGGACAAAGGAGTGGTCACAGGGACACGGCATGTCGTTTCCCTCGCGGGAGAGGGGTCGGGAGGCCACGGGGCAGGCAGAGGGGTACAGGGCGGGCGGGAGGGAAGGGGGGGCGGCAGGGACAAAGGGAGGGGGTACAGGTAGCGAGAGGAGGTTGCCAGTGAGGGCGGCAGGAGGAGGAGGAGGAGGAGGAGGAGGAGGAGCAGGAGGAGGAGGAGAGGTGGGTGCGGTGAGCAGGGGAGTCGAGGAGTGGGGGGGGAGGATAAGGAGGACAGCAGAAACGGGGTGGTTGGGGCAGGGCGAGGAAGACGAGGATGACAAGGAGGGGGGACAGGAGGAGAAGATGAAAGGACGGCGAAGGAGGGGTTGAGGGAGATAGGTACCCGACGAGGGCGATGGACGTGGTGAAGGTGGACGGTGAGGAATCATTTGCAGGGGCAGGAGAAGGAGGAGGAAGAGGAGGAGGAGGAGGAGGACATGGAGAAGGAGGAGGACTTGGAGGAGGAGGAGGAGGAGGACGTGGAGGAGGAGGAGTAGGAGGAGGAAGAGGAGGACGAGGGGGACTTGGAGGAGGGGGAGGAGCACGATGAGGAGGAGTACAATGATTATGAGGCCCGTATTGGGATGAGGGATTGTAGCGTGGTGTCTATAGTTTCGCGAAATGTAGGAGTGGACGGGGAAGGAGCCACCTGACAAGAGCAGGCACCCCCAGCGAGTTTGTACTGCTCGTACGGCCTCAGCCGGAGGCCCTTGCAGGCAAGTGTGCATGCACGCGCGGACCACTGTCGTTCCCGAAGCGCCCGCAGAGCACGGCAAGGCTTCCTTGGAGGCCTCCACCGTGACGTCCAGGGCTCCCAGGAGGCGACGCAGCCAAGTGGTTCAGCGTTCTTCGGACGGTCAGGGGCGTGTTCCCCACTTTGCCTCTTTCCTTCACTCTTCCTTGGGGGGGGAGGAAGGAGGGGGGACGAGGTGGAGAGGATGATGATGGAGAGGAGCGGGAAGAGGACGAGGAGGAGGAGGAGGAGGAGGAAGAGGAGGCGGACGTCGACGAGGAGGGAGTGAGGAGGGCGAAGAGGAGGAGGGAGGAGGGGAAGGGAGGGGAGAGGAGGTGGGGGGATGAAGAGGACGAGCAGGAGCGCTGGCCTCCCGCGGAGGTGCCTCAGCCACCAGATGGTCATGCTGGGCCTAGAGCCCCGGCAGACCACCTCGAACATCGGCCACCTCAACAAGCCATCCATCACGGAGGGTTGGGGCCGCTCCCTGGCGCCCTCGAGGAGGGCGAGCGGGATGAACGAGCAGCAGCACCAGCAGGAGGGCGGAGCCTCTCCCTGGCATCCAAAAGGGGCGGGCGAGCAGGAGGAGCAGCAGCAGCAGCAGCAGCGAGGACGAGGAAGGGGACGCGGCGCGCCAGTTTGGCCCGGGTGTGCAGGCGCGCGCTGCGTGCCCTGCGTGCGACTGAGGGGCGGGGGTGCAATCGGCGGGGGGCCTTGGCCGCTTCCGCTCTGTCCAATGGTCGCCCCTGACGGCGTGCAGGAGACCTTTGTCAATGCTGCCATCCTCGTGAGCCAGTCCGTTGGTCAGGCCATGAAGACGAGCTTCAGGGCGTGGGGCGCCGAAGCCAACACGAGGACGAACTTCGCCCTCGAGGGCCGCACTGACGGGGAGGCGTCCGTGCGCATCCGGGCCAAAGACGAGGCCGACGTGAACGCCGCCAAGAATAAGATCTCGGAGTCCTGTCAAGTCACGCGAGAGCAGGTTCGTAAAGTAAAGGTCGACGTCACGAAGGTCAAGGACAGCCGCATAACCAGCAGGCTCCGCGAGCTGAAGGACACATTCAACGTCAAGGTCAAGGTCAAGGCCATGGAGGTCGAGGGAGGCGGTCAGCTTGTCGGCCCGAAGGCGGACCTGCAGAAGATTGCGGAGGTGCTCGAAAAGATCTTCAAGGCGTGCGCTTACGACGCCGTCTTCGTGTCCGTCCAGGCCGGGCAGGCCTCGATCTTAGACACGGAGCACGGCGTCCACGCAGTTCACGTCTGGCGCCTGCGAGGTCCGTTTCCTGCGCGCCCGCAGCGAGTGCGAGGAGGACAAGGTCAGTTTGGCCGACACTGAGAACCAGGTAGCCGAGGCCAAGGAGGCGATCGAGGAGCTCACACGGAAGGGGACTCACTAGGCAAGGCCAAGGAGGCGATCGAGGAGCTCCTAAGGGAGGAGGGCACCTCGGCCACCACCGAGCTCTCCGAGGACACTGCCAACGCGCTGCTGGCGAGGAGTGGCGGCCCGCCCAAGAGTGTGGACACGCAGAGCAGCGGCCCGGCACCAAGAGGTCTTGGCCGCGGGCTCCGCGGACGCGGTGAAGATGGCGGGGAAGGAATGCGAAAGTCTTCGTAGCAGGTCGTGATCGCGCAGGCGGCCGCCGTCGAGGAGCTCTTGACGCTTGCGGGCAGGCCAGCCACGAGGACGCTGCGGGAGTCGCAGCTCACCGCGGGCGCCACGCGCACCTTCGAGATCCGCGGCTCCGAGGGGGACGCGGCCAAGGCGGAGGAGTTTGTCCAGGCCGCGGAGGCGACGCTGCGGCTCCGGAAGCCGAAGAAGGCTGAGGAGTGCACGCTCTCCGACGCCGGCTTCCTGACGCTCAGCGGTGGCGCCCAGCCGAGCGGCAAGGCGGAGGAGCCAGGCGGTGGCAGCGTGGGTCGCCTTCAGGAAACAGGCCGACACTCCCAAGCACAAGCCCGAGGAGGTCGCCCATCTGGTTTGGGGCGCCGCCCCCGCCGCGCGGACCGAGCCGCAGGCGCCGCGCCCGAGGCGGCGGCCGAGGTTGGCCACCCCAGAGATCCGATGCCGTGATTTGTTAAATGCGGGGTCCCCGGAAGTCTCCGACCCATTCCCCAGGACCGTTTTTTTTTGCGAATCCCCAGGCAGTAGCCAGAGCGACGAGGAGGCCCACCCAGCTACCTTGTCCTCCTCCGCCGCGTCGTATTAGTTATTTGAGTCGTTATTTGACCGTCGCGAGGCCCGGTAAAGGCCCCTAGAGGCCGCCGGCGACGCCGCCCTCCACGGCGGGACGAGGTGGGCGGCCGCGGGGTTTGCGGCGGCGCGGCGGTCCCAGAGATCCAACGCATTGATAAAATCACGAAGGTTGTCGCGCTAGGCGCTGTGCTCCTCATCCCTCCCTGTCTTCTCCCTCTGCCTCTGCAGTCTCCTCGCCGGTTCCGCTGCTCCTCTCTCGTCTCTCATCTCCCCTCTTCGATTACACGTAAGAGTGACCCTTCGCCGGAGTGACCTTTGGTGCTGGCCCAAAAGGGGTCGGGAGATTTTTCTTGCGGGATGAGCTTGGCCTCGCGTCGGCACCCACGTCGCGTGATTACGCTCGCATCTGAGCGCGCCAGGTTTGGGCCCACCCCTTGCAATCGACAGCAACGCATACGCGTCGCACCCCACAGCTTGCATTGGTTACCCGAGGGGGGACAGGTCTGTCTGTCTGTCGTCAGCCTGGTCAGCATCCACGCTTCTGAGTGTTCAACACACTGGGCGCGAGGGCCGTGCCCCGGGTCGTGGTCGTCTAAGCCTCCTAGATGGGGCCGGAGTAGATGGGGTCGGAGGATCGCGTCGTATCGTTGATGCATCGACGATTCGGATCGATGTGGAGCCCGCGTTTTCCCCATGCCGACGTCGCCGATGCTTCGCCGACGTCTCCAGCGCATCGCCGATGCATCGCTGATACATCGGCGATGCATCGCCGATGTATCGGCGATGCGGCGAGATCCCCTGACCCCATCTACTCCGACCCCGTCGGGGAGGCCTCTAGTTCGGGGGTCGATCACATGCACACATACTCTTTTTAAGTGTGGATCCGGTCTGGGGTCGGTCAACTCCACTGATGCTCGTTTGAAGTGTGGATCCGGTCGGGGGTCGGTCAAATCAATAGATGCTCCTTTGAAATATGGATCCTCTTGGGGGTCGGTCAAATCCACCGATGCTCTTTTTACTTGTGGATAAGAGCTCCCGTGTAGAAGCACGTCGGAGGGTGTGGGTCGCCCAAGCCCACAAATGCCTCCTTGAAGTGTGGATATGGTCCGGGGTCGGTCAAATCCACAGGTGCTCTTTTGAAGTGTGGATCCGGTCTGGGGTCGGTCAAATCTACCGATGCCCGTTTGGAAGTGCGGATCCGGTCCGGGGTCGGTCAAATCTACCGATGCCCGTCTGGAAGTGTTGCTCCGGTCGTGGGATCGGTCAAGTCCACAAATGTTCCGTTTGGAAGTGCTGCACCGGTCGTGGGGTCGGTCAAGTCCACAGATGCTCCCCTGAAGTGTGGATCCTCTCCGGGGGTCTGTCAGATCCACAGATGCTTCCGGGGACGGCGCGAGACCCCCACGAGTGCCGAGGGCGGCCCCGGGAGGGCTCTGGGTGGCCTGGGCGGCGCGAGGGCAGCCAAGGTGAACCCCAGCGAGTCACTCCAGTGAGGGCTCGGAGGAGGAGGAGGAGGAGGGGGATTTCCAGGATTTCCGCCTTCACATAGTGAAATCAAAACAAAAAAACCACACTGCCAGGGCATATGCAGTGTGTTGGGAGAGACCTTGTGCACCTCGGCCGCTCCAAACCTCAAACGGCCTAGGAGGGGAGGGGACGACTCAGAGGTGCACGTACACGTCCAACGCCTCCAGGACCGGCCCCCCCCCGAGGGGAGGGGGCCCCCCTGCCACCCGCCAGGCACTCCAGGCACTGGCCGGGGACACAGGACACCCCTCGCCACCAGGCGGGGCACCTGGTGCGAGTCTCGGGGCGGGTGCCCTGGCCTGCTCCCCCCAGTCCCCTTGCCCAAGGGGGACAGAGCAGGACTTCCCATGAGCCTGGCCGAAGCCAGACCCCCCCTCCACACCCTGGCGCGACCGGGGAGTCGCCGGGCCAAGACAGTGGAGGGGACCCGCATCGGCCGTAGCCGAATCGGGATTATCGTTTAGGCCCGAAGACCGGGGTCGGTGCCCCCACTGCCGAAACCACCCACCCACCCACGGCAATGCCGTGGGTGGGTGGGTGGTTTCGGCAGTGGCGCAGCCCCCATACAGGCCACGACTAAGCGGGTTTCAGTTCCCCCGGACGCCGGGAGGTGCCGCCCACACCAACCGGCTGCCCGCCCGGGGGCAGGAGGAGGAGGGGGAGGAGGAGGAGGAGGAGGAGGAGGAGGGGGAGGAGGAGGAGGAGGAGCAGGAGGAGCAGGAGGAGGAGGAGGAGGAGGAGGAGGAGGAGGAGGAGGAGGAGGATCCTGTCGGGGGTCGGTCGGATGGACCCGTCCGGGGCCACAGGTGGGCTCCAAGAGCGTCTGGGCGCGGGCGCCCTTCCCGGGCCGACCCCCGGGGGGCGCACCGCCGGTGCCGATCGGGGGCCTCGGCCCTGCCACCCCCGCACCACCCACCAAACCACCCCAACCCAACCCGAAGGCTCAGATTTACCCTCGATTTCCAGTTGGGGGGGGTCGGGAAACATCGAAAAAGCACGTGTGGAACCCTTACCCCCCCCAACCCGAAATTCGGGTCTTCGGGTTGGGTTGGGGTGGTCTGGTAGGTAGTCACCCCCTGTCTGGACGCCCGAGATGGGCACGGAAAGAATGGGTACAATGCCCAACAGGAGTTCCTGCTCATTTTGAACAGGACTCGCTGTCCACGCCGCCGCGGCCTGTGTCCATTCGAGACAGAAGGCCGCCTGCCCAACAGCGGCCGCTGTTGGTTTGGGGCAACATTTGTTGTTGAGCATTATGCCCATTCTTTCGGTACCCATTTCGGGTGTCCAAACCCTGGGGACCAGCAGTGGGGGCACTCGAGGTCCGCACACGGTGCACGTCTGATTCGTCGGAGGGCCTTCGAGTTTTTTTTTGAGGGGGCCGAGATCCTTTCCTTGCTAACTGTTCTGTCCCGGGCCTCGTCCTGGCCACCAGGGGGCCAGGAGGAATCAGGAACGAGCGCGATAAGAACAGTTCTTCAAGTTTTTTGTCTGGGGTGGACAGAAGCCCAAACAGTGACACGTCGATCAGTGGATTGTCCGTTTTCGGTTCTCGAGACGGCGCCGTGGCCATTTATTCTCCAGGCCTGCGCCGGCCAGGTGTGGGCCTCAGGTCGTCGTTTTCCAAGCTTGCGCCCGCCAGGTTTGGGCCCGAGGTCGTTTTCACTAAACCACGTTTTACTACAGGAGGGTTTTGGGGCCGAGATCCTTTCATTGCTAATTGTTCTATCCCGGGCCTCGTCTTGGCCACCAGGGGGCCAGGAAGAATCAGAAACGAGCGCGATCAGAAATGGTCACGATTAGACGTGAACGACGTGTACAGATTAGCTTGGGGCGTGCCGACCTCAAGGGTTCGTGCATCCAGGGCTGCGCGGGAGTGCGGTCCAGGCCATTCGGGATGGGGCGAGGGCAATGCGCAGTTGCGGGGTTGAGGGGGCCGAACGGTCATACACTGTCCCTGGGTGCGTGGCTGTACTGAGACTCCGCGCTACCAACTCTATCGCAAAGCCCGACATTCAATTTGATCGTTGGCGGTTCGCTTCGGCGCCGGCAACACATACCAGTGCAGAACGGCGCTGCTCGCCCAAGCGCTGGCCACAACGTATGTCATATTGTCTGGGGCGCTTGACATAGACTACCAGTGCGCGAAGTCTTGGCCGTTTCGCCGAGACGCCGTTGTCGTTACTTCCAGGACCATGACTTTCTCCTCGGCACTCGCGCGCGCGCGCGTCAGATGCGCGGGGGCCGGTCGGAACGCCGCCTTCGGGGCGGCCACGGCCCCAAGTCACGCTATGCAGAATGCGCGTGCTATGTGGATTCGAACAACGCGTGCTATGATGCTTCCGGTAAGACACACGTCGCACAGCCGAGACGGATCCACATATTGCCTGAATATGTGGACCAGCCTTCGGGGCTGATGGGCCCGCTCTAGTCGCTGGGGGCTTGGCAATCCCAATGTTCGAGGCCCATTGGTGCATCTTGGAGGCCTCTTGGGCCATCTTGAGGTAATTTAGGGCGTTTCGGGGCGATCGTTGGGCGTCTCGGGGCGTTCTGGGGCCGTCTTGGGCCTCTGTGCCCTGTCGGCCCGTCTTGGGGCCCCATGGCTTCGAAAAAGTCACGCGAGTAGCCGCGAGGAGCCCCAGGCGAAGATTTCGCTATGTGGGGTCTGGGCCCCTGCAAGAATCCTCCGGAGCCAGGTTCGAGGTCCAGAGGATGATGGCAAGGCCCTGAGGGCACGTCCATTCCCAGAGCAGGAGGATGGGGAGACATGCATCCATATATATATATATATATATATATGTATATGTATATATATATGTATGTATATATATACATATATATGTATATATATGTATATATATATATACATATATATATATATATATATAGAAGGGGCATGGGGAGAAGCCGCAGCAGGAGCGGCACCTGGAAATTTTGGATGCCGCCGTGGTCCCTGACCCCCAGACATCCACGGAGGCCTCCCAATTGCCGAAGCCTTGGGGCGAAACCGTCAACTACATTCGACCGTCGACCGTCGTGGCAGAGTTCCGCAGCGGCGCGAGCAGGAGGATCTGGAGACCAGGCCGTCGTTCGTCGTGCCTGTTTCCCCTGCGCACGCGAACACCAAGAGCACGTGCGCGGCGCGTTCGCTGGCCATCCGTCTAATATGTTCTCCTCATTGCTCGTATTCCTGTATCGCTCGATTTGCTTTTGTTGTCGCACCTCTCCCTCTCCCTGTGCCTCGGACTCCTCTTCCTCCTCCTCCTCCTCCCTCTGCCGGCGGGGCGACAGACCGAGCGCAGCAGCAGGCCGCAGCAACATTTGCCCAAGCGTTCTTGCCCCAAGAGGCCTGAGCAGCTTCTTTTCCGGTCTGCCGTGCACCCCAGGGCCCTTGATCAACGAAGCTCATGGCGCGTTTCGCACTCGTCGTCGCCATCGCAGCGGCCATCGTGCTGCCCGCCTCCGCAGCCGTGCGCGCCAACGCCACCGTAGACATCAACCAGAAGGTGACGATCGACGGCACGGAGGTCTTCTCGCAGGGATCGGGCCACGCCCTCCTGAACCAGTGCGCCCAGTTCGCCAGGGCCGCGGTCAACGACGCGGCCAGGCCCAACATCCAGGTCTGCGGCACCTCGACCAAGGCTCGGCGGCGCGCACAAGGGGGTGCTGCGAGGGGGGCGGCAGTCTATCAGTATCGTTGAACCGATCCCCGTCCCCATGCCCATCCAGACCCCGACCATCCCGCCACCCTAGTTGGGGATATACCCCTCGAAATCCGAAGGGCACTGCTTGTATCCCCATCATCTAGGGGGGCAAATCGGCCAGTTGGGCCCAGGCCACGCCCATGGGGATGGGGGTCGGATAAACGATGCTCAGTCTAAGAAGGCAGGGGGGGGCTTCTTGGAAGACAGGGGTCGTCTTAGACGTGCCTGGGCGCTTCTGAGAAGGCTCCTGGGAGGCCAGAAGCCCTCCTCGTGCGCGCTGCCCGCCAGGTCACCGTATTCCTGCGCAACAGGTGCAAGGGCTACCACCACTACGCGGAGGAGGTCGGGACCTGCAACACCGGAGCGCCCTCCACGTCGTGCGTGACGGTCAGCCCCAGCACCGTCAGTTGGTTGCAGACGGCGCAGAGCTACATGATCACCCAGTGCTGAGCGGGGAGGTGACCACCTCCATGCCAGTCGCGCCTGCTGGTGGGCAAAAGTTGGCGCAGCAGCGTGGGGGACTAGCAGGAGGAGGAGGCGTAGGAGGCGTAGGAGGCGTAGGAGGCGTAGGAGGAGGAGGAGGAGGAGGAGGAGGAGGAGGAGGAGGAGGAGGAGGAGGAGGACAGGGAGGAGGAAGAGGAGGAGAACGACGACGACGACGAGGCGGCTGGAGCGGGGCAGGCTTTGATCCACGGCCTGAACCGGCGCTGCCCCGCCGCGCGCCCCTCTGGCGTTGCGCAATGGGGGGGCGATGAATGGCTCGGCATCGCTCGAACGTGCGCGTTTTTTTTCTTGGCAGGGACCATCGAGGTGCATACTGGGTCATCCTGCAGGAAAAAAAATGTACGAACGAAACCGGCAGATGCACGGGGAGTGGTCGTCCGAGCGATGGCGAGACGGGGGGATGAAGAACGGTGCACCGCTTGTGCCCCAAAGGGGCCCTGAAAGTGCCCCGTGGGACCCAAAAGGAGTACAGTCAACCCGCATAGTAAGGATGAGCAATTTTCCCATGGGTACCCTTGCATCCTTGCCTCCTCGGTCCATCCTTCGCCGCTTTCGCTGGCCGCGCCCCGCTCGAAAGGCTTCGAGATGGGCGTCCGAGGCCCTTTCATCCTCATCGCGCATCCTTACTATACTGGTTGACGGTTCGACAGGTGCACGTCCCCCCAATATATATATATATATATATGTATATATACATACATATATGAAAAATCAATGCCCCCGCATTTATCAACGTCCAAGCACGCCCCCTCTCCGCCGCTCCTCCTCCTCCTCCTCCTCCTCCTCCTCCTCCTCCTTCCTCCTCCCACCACCTCCTCCTCCTCCTCCTCCTCCTCCTCCTCCCACCCACCTCCTCCTCCTCCTCCTTCCACCACCTCCTCCTCCTCCTCCTCCTCCTCCTCCTCCTCCGCCCCCTCCTCCTCCTCCTCCTCCTCCCCCTGCCGCCCCCCCCCCCCCCCACGGGGGGGCCGCCCCCAGGCAGGAGCGGTCTGCCCGTGCCGCCCTCTCTTGCGCCCCCCAGGGCCCCGGACCCCAAAACGGCGCTTCTTGGCTGTGTCGGGGGCCGTTTTTTCGTCTCGACGTCGTTGTGCTGCAGCGGCGGATGGGAAGGCACAGCTCAGAGGAGCATGAAGTGTTGATGTTGATACTTTTCCAGATTTTCAGGTTTCTGGCGGTGTCGTGGGCCGTTTTTTTTCGTCTCGACGTCGTTGTGCTGCAGAGGCGGATGGGAAGGCACAGCTCAGAGGAGCATGAAGTGTTGATATTAGGGTTTAGGGTTGAGGGTTTAGGGTTTAGGGTTTAGGGTTTTCCAGAATTTTTTAAGGTTTGTGGCGGTGTCGTGGGCCGTGTTTTCGTCTCGACGTCGTTTTTTGCTGCGGAGGCGGACGGAAGGCACAACTCCGAGGAGCACGAAGTATTGATACTGTCAGGAGGGGAAGAAACACACAGACACAATTCATCGTCGCCCCCCCAGAAAATGTGGGAAAATATGGGAATTGGGCGGGAAGACAGAAACCCAGAAAATATGGGAAAAGATGGGGAATCATTTTATTTGTGTGTATTTATTTGTGTGTCCTGGGGCCCCTTGATATTGATCGTTCTCCAGATTTTCAGGTTCTCCTGTTCTCCCGCGCGGGCTCCAGGGACGAATGGTCGAGCGCATTCCGTCGCGCAGGTTCTCGTTTTGTCTTCGCTTCCCCTCGTGGTCAACGAGGGAAAAACCGAGGACAGAACGAGAACGAACAAAAAACACCGTTCTCGTTCAGCCCCGCTGCTCCCCACTTGCCCTGCTCATTGTTTGGGAAGCAGCCTCGCGGGAGCATCGAGGCAGCCTCGGCGCCGGCATGTCCGCGGTCGACACTGGCCTCATCCGGCGCAGTCCCGCCGAATCCCGTTGAACCAAGGGCTCCCTCGAGGGCGCGAAGTTATTCGCGCTTCGCGCTTCGCGGTCCTCGTTCCTTCGCCTCCTCCTCCTCGTCCTCCTCTTCTCCCTTTGGGAGGGCGGCGCGAGAGCGCGAAGTTATTCGCGCTTCGCGCAGCGCGAAGCGCGAAGTTGGGAGCCCTAGTTGAACGCGGCGCAGTCCGGTTTCATCCAGCTGAACCCTGAGCTTGATTTGGCCGGATCCCGCTGAACGCCCCCCCAACTATATACCATAGACGGGCTTAGTAGCCATTAACCATTCCTCGTTCTTTTCTACGAAGACCTCCCAGGAGTTGCCTCCCGACACTGTCTCCTCCCTCCTCTCCTCCCTTCCCTCCCCTTCCCGTCCTCCCCCTCCTCCTTCTGCTTGTCTTCCCATCTGCCGTCCGTCGGGAGACACGGCAAGGTAGAAGGCACCCCAGACGAGCACGCAAATGACAACCAGGCCATCGGAAGGGACAGCCTGCGGTGGCCAGCGGGCGCGAAACCACCATCCGCGGGCACCCGCGTCGGACGACAAGCAAGATGGAATTGATGATACGTTCGAGCAGCTGATTCTTCGGAGGTTGATAGACCTGCTATCATGACACGTCGATTAGAGAATGGGCCGTTTTCGGTTCGCAGGAGGGCGTCGCGGCCGTCTTCTTTGCGGGCCCAGGTCTGTCTGGTTCGGTCCTGGGCCGTTTTCACCAACGGGCGGTTTACAAAAGAGAGGTTTGTCCACCGCCGAAATAAGAAACATTCCGAAGAGCTGGGCCAGTCTTTCTCAATCAATACTCCAGGCAGGAAGCTGGCCCAGTGTCTTCAGCACGCTCGCCCCTCAAGCGTTCACAATAGAAATTGGCCCAGGTGTGTTGTCAGGAACGTCCTACGATCGGGGGCGGCAAAGAGGGGGGTGATGACTAGGGGGGGGGGATATCGTGGCGTGGGCCATGATATTTCCCCAGATCTCATGGCGCCTCTCCTTATTTCCTGACGTCCCTGGTCCCCCCCCCCTGGGCCGCGCACATGCCGCCGGTCATGACTTGCACCCCCCCCCTCTTGGACACCCCCCTCTTGGCCGCTCCCGATACAAGCTGTTCCAGCTTTCTTAAGTGATGCAGTGCCGTTTTTACTATATGCTCCGCATGTGGATCACGTATTAGCAATGCAGGGTTTAGTATTAATAACAACGATGAGTTCATGCATACATGTATTCATACTTTGGCCATGTATTACAAGTCCTATATAAAAAAAAACCATGTAGTAAAAACTGCCCTGTAGTTTTCTGGATCCTGCCCTCTCATGCGCAGGGACGCGTCTCGCCCTGACACCAGTGCGGCAGTGACCGGCTTACGTGCCACGGGAGCGAATCGGGAGCCCTGAGACGGGGGTCGATGCGAACGGGGGTCAGCCAGAGCGCCGGGTCCTGCAGGATCCTGCTGGGCCAGGGTCGCATTGACCTGGGTCAGCGCGCAGGGTCCTGCAGGGTCTTGCAGGATCCTGCAAAGCCCGACCGACCCGTATCTGTATTGACCCGCGTCAGTAGATCCTCGAGCGACGAGGAGGGAGTCGGACGGAGCTAGGACGAGGATAAGTCCGTTCCAGAGCGTTCCGGAACGCTCTCGGAGCGCTCCGGAACGCCCCGAGAAGTCCGCGGCGCCCGATACATCCTCTAGAGCCGCCAGATTTCAGAGATTCTCGATGTGTCAGAGGTCGGAGGGAGGAGAAGCGGTACCAACACCACCAGGGGGCCCACCTCCAGCGAGGAGGTCCACGATGCATCCGCGAGCGGGGGGGGGGACCACACCACCAGGTAGACCCCCCACCAAACCACCCCAACCCAACCCGAAGGCTCAGATTTAGCCTCGATTTCTAGTGGGGGGGGTTCGGGAAACATCGAGCAAACACGCGTGGAACCCTTACCCCCCCCAACCCGAAATTCGGGTCTTCGGGTTGGGTTGGGGTGGTCTGGTAGGTAGTCAACCAGGTAGACCCCCCTCGCCTCCACGCACCTCCTCGCCCTGTTGGTGTTGGTGCCGCCTTTGCTTGCTCCTGGAGAGGAGGCGCGAGAAGTGTCGGGGGGGGCGGGTGGCCCTCGGCCGTCGGGCGCTTGTCGGCGGGGGGAGGGTCCGTGCTCTTGGCGGCAGGATGATATGGTCCAGGAGCCACTGGTACTTCTTCGCCTCCTTCCACCACCTCCTCCTCCTCCTCCTCCTCCTCCTCCTCCTCTCCTCTCCTCCTCCTCCCCCTCCTCCCCTCCTCCTCCTCCTCCTCCTCCTCCTCCTCCTCCTCCTCCTCCTCCTCGTCCTCGTCCTCCTCCTCCTCCTCCTCTTCCTCCTCCTCCTCCTCTTCCTCCTCCTCCTCCTCCTCCTCCTTGTCTTCTCCCTACAGTCGGACCGAGGTGCCAGGTCGAGGTCGGTTCGGGTAGGGTGCCCTGATGTTCTTCGTGTCTGTGGGATGAGAGGGGGAGAAGAGCTCGGAGCGGGAGCGCGCGCAGGTGGAGGAGGGGGCAGCACCAGGAGCAGGAGCAGGAGCAGGAAGGGGGAGCACGAGTGTAAAGGGGACGGGACGAGCAGGATACGAAGAGCAGGAGGGGGAAGAGCAGGAAGAGCAGGACCCGAAGAAGAAACCGCAGCACGTGCCCTCGGAGCAGGAAGGGGTGCCCATGCTGCTACCCTTCGCATGCGTTCCCATTCTTCGGCCTCCTGGGAGGCCCTCGGAGTAGGAGGAGGAGGAGGAGGAGGAGGAGGAGGAGGAGGAAACTGATGAGGAGTATTCCCCCTCCTCCTCAGTTTCCTCATCCTCCTCCTCCTCCTCCTCCTCCTCAGTATTCCCCTCCTCCTTCTCTTCCTCATGGCGTATGTTTCTGTTGGCTTGCTCGGAAAAAAGAGACGCAGGACGGGACGCGCCGGGAGCAGCAGCACGCCAGATCGGCGCGCTGGCCGCGTCTGTTCTCCTGCGATGTGGCTCCAGTCCCACTCTTCCCCCCCCCCCCTGCACGTCGCCCCCCCCCCCCCCCCCCCAACCGGCACTCGGGGATGGACAGAACCCCGACCTTGACACGTCCGTGAGTGAATTGTCCGTTTTCGGTTCTCGAGAGGGCGCCGCGGCCGTCGTTTTCCAAGCTTGCGCCTGCCAGGTTTGTGCCCGAGATCGTTTTCACTCAACCACGTTGACTCAAGGGGGTTCTGTCCATCCCGAACCCCATCCTCCTCCTCCTTCTCCTCCTCATCCCCCCTCCTCCTCCTCTCCCTCCTCTCCTCCTCCTCCTCCTCCTCCTCATCATCACATCATCATCATCATCATCATCCTCTCATTCCCTCCTCCCCCTCCTCCTCCTCCTCTTCCTCTCCTTCTCCTCCTCCTCCCTCCTCCTCCTCCTCCTCTCCTGCTCTCCCCCCCCTCCTCCTCCTCCTCCTCCTCCTCCTCCTCCTCCTCCTCCTCCCTCCTCCTCCTCCTCCTCTCTCCTCCTCTACGCCTCCTCCTCCTTCTCCTCCTACTCCTCCTCCTCCTCCTCCTCCTCCTCCTCCTCCTCCTCCTCCTCCTCCTCCTCCTCCTCCCCGAGGCACTATTACTCCATCGCGATCAACTACCGGAAGAACGACCTGGAGCAGAAGATGCTGCTGAGCCTCGGGCGCAAGAAGTGGCAGGCCGCGCGCCCAACCGCTTCTCTTCCCTGGGCCTCCAAGCATTTTCGTGTTGAGGGTTAAGTCAAGCCTGTCCCTCTACAGGAGGAACATTAAAACAGTTATGTATATATATATATATATATATATATATATGTAGGGACGATGTTTCAATTATTTTGACTACTTTTGAATATGGTTTTCATATGTTGTATCCTTCGTCAAAAATCCGCCTGTAGGGGGGCACGCCCGACTAAAGTTTAGGGTCCTGCTCGCTTCACTGTGTAGTCGCTTGGTTGGGCGAGGACCACTCGGGGCTCCCACCCGCGTCGGGGGGGATATCCTTCACTCCCTTCTGTAGCGCACGATTGGTCGCACATAGCCTTATCTTCCAGAGTATCGGAGGTGGATAGACCTCCTACCCTGGCACGTCGATTAGTGAATTGGCCGTTCTCGGTTCGCGAGAGGGCGTCGCGGCCGTCATTTTTGCGGGTCCAGGTCAGTCGGTTTCGGTCCCAGGCCGTTTTCGTTAAAGGGAGGTTTACTAAAGGGAGGTTTGTCCACCGCCGATTATCTTCCCAGAGTAGTGTGCTGTGGTAGTCGTTGAGACATTCGGCCCGGTTTCGCTCCGCGTTCCCTGGCTCGCGCAGGGGGTATTTCGGCCACGCCCGGTGCGCGCGGGAAGGAGTGCTCGACGCCAGCAGCATCGGGAACGGCGAAGGCGGGAACACATGGGTTTCGAGCCACAAACAAGAAGTTCACACACGACACTGCGTGGCTCACAATGACTTGGTTTGCAGTCTCAATGCTGATGTATAGTTCGCAGCGTGCTGCTAGCACGGCTCTTTGTGGGGCCTCTTAGGCAAATGGCTGCAGAGGTGGGGAAGCGTTGCTGCAACCCCGTCTCTCCCGCCTGTGCTAAACTGTGTTCGCAGCTATCTTGCCGGCAACGGAATTCAGACGCATCTTCGCACGATGCTCGAATTTCTCAGTCGATCACACAGGTCTCTCGGCACTCCTGAAATGTGTTTTTTCACCAGGGGCGAACACCATCAAAATTCGCGTCGCATAGCCCCCGAACGCCTCAGGCACCGTGAGATGGCAACTTCTGGGGACGAGGAAACCGCGCCCAACGCGCGAAACAGCCCTCGGCGAATCAGACAACCAGACGCGAAGTGCGAGGCCATTCTCCACGAGGCGTGCCCTGAGCAGATGCCCTGCTGCAAGATGCGTTCTCCCTTACCAGGTCCTCCCAGAATCGGCGCGATCCCCAAAGCACTGACCACAGCGTCCCCAATGTGATCGAATTCGGCTGTTTTTTTGCTGGGCCAGCGCCCAGCTGATGCGCTCATCCCTCCTTTGCCGAGCCCTCCCTTTTGACCACCCTTCTATCTGGGCCATGCACCTTTGGTGCTGAAACCCCTGAGGTCCTGAGATGGCTGAGGCCGCGCCTATTCGCTTGATCCTCGAACGACGGTCATGTGAAGTCATGCTGGTTTTCAAGATTGCTTTCGCTACCCTTGACGATGGTGACCGCTTTCAGGCAAGGAAGCCCTCTCGGCTCGATCAGTTTATTTTGCAGCCTTCTCATTGAGGCGTCCTCCCCTCTCGTAACGCATATTTCTTTGTCCCCTCATCCGCTTTCACCGTCTCGCCCCGCTCCTCCTAGCTACCGCCCGTTCACTCTTTGTCTCCTGTACCGCTTGCTCCCTCTTCCCTCCTCCCCCCATCCCTGATCTTCTTCGATGGGTCATATCGCACTCCCTGGCCGCCTTTCGTGTTCAGGGTGGTCGGCCTTGTCTTCTTCGATCTCTTCGTTGATTTGTGGTCTCTGGCCGCTGATATCAACAAACCGAAGTTTATCTGGGCTTTGAACCCTCGGTAGACGTTCACAGACCTCTCGGGATCTCGGAAGATCTCTGGGGACCTCACGAGGTCTTCGCGGACCTCATGTCCGAGCGTCGTCAGACACCGACGCCGGGCGATGTTTCGCCTGCTCCTGGATCCCCTTGGGGCCCGTCCACGAATGGATTTGGTCCAAGACGTACCGCAGAAAGTTCGGCTGGAGGCGATGGGCCGATGTCCCACCACCGCGAACCTCAGGATGGCTTTGGTTTTGCATCCCCCAAGCACTTCTCTCGGCGAGCTACAACTCGCCCCTCCTCCTCCTGCTCCTCCTCGTCCTCCCCGTGTTCGTTCTCGTCGTCGTCGTCGTCGCGGCGGAGATCATGTTTCCTTTATTGTTAGGCGAGCTGGATCTTGCTTGGGTTCCTGTCTCCCAGGGACTAATCCATTGTGGGCGACCTTACTCGCGAGAAGATACGTAAGCATATTTCATGAGGATTGCAATGGGAACCGGTGGTTGTGGGTTGAGTCGTGGTTTGAGTCGTGGTTGCAATCGTGGTTGTAGCCGCGATTGGAGTCGTGATCGTAGTCGTCGTCGTCGTCGTCGTCGTCGTCGTCGTCGTCGTCGTCGTCGTCGTCGTCGTCGTCGTCGTCGTCGTCGTCGCGGCGGAGATTTGTCTTCTTCGCTTGCTGGGCGGGTTGAGTCACGTTGGAGGGTTCTTTCTCCCAGGGAATGATCCATTGTGGACTACCCTGCATGCGAGAGGGTGTGTGAGCATCTTTTCATTGAGGCTTGCAATACGAGTCACTGGTAGAGGTTGCAGTCGTGATTGTAGTAGCGGTTGTAGTCGTGATTGTAATGTTGCTGGTAGACGTGATGGCAGTCGTGATCGTAGTCGTGGTTGTCGTCGCAATCGTAGCTGTAACCGTAGGCGTAGTCGTAATCGTAATCGTAGTCCTAGTCGTCGTCGTTGTTGTGCGTCGCGCGCCGCGGAGAAATATTCGCTCCACTATTGGTGGGGCCCTGGTCCGTCAACAAGGTTGCTGGTAGAAGAGTAAGTTTCCTACTGTGTGGGGGGGGGCTTCTAGGGACCGTTCGGGGATACCAGATGCAGGAGAGGGAGGAGGAGGAGGAGGAGGAGGAGGAGGAGGAGGAGGAGGAGGAGGAGGAGGAGGAGGGGGAGAGGAGGAGGAGGGAAAAGGAGGAGGAGGAGGAGGAGGAGGAAGAGGAGGAGGAGGAGGAGGGAGGAGGAGGAGGAGGAGGAGGAGGGCCTCCCCATCCTCCCTTCTCCCCTGTCCTGCCTATGGCAGTGGTGGTGGGCACTTGGCCCATCATCGTGAGGGGTCCCGTCTTGAGTTTTCACTTCGCTTCGCTGTGGTTCGTTCACGGCAGCGGCTCGTGGGGCCTCCACCGTCCCGCCCGACCCCTCCTTGGGCTCCCTCCGTCTCTCCCCGCTTCCGTCCCTTCCACTCGCTCCTTCCCCCCCCCCCCTGCCCCGAAGCTAAGGAAGCATCCCGCGTGGAAGTCCAGCCTTCCTTCTCCACCCGCCTCCCGCCTCTCTGACCGGTCGGTGTCGGGAGGCTTTGAGCCATTGGATTCTCTCCTCCGCCGCCTTGGCCACAGCGACTCCATACGAGCGTTGCTCTCCCCTATCTCCAACTGTTGTGCGAGCCAGGCGTCGTTTCCCCTGCACGTTTCTGGGTGTGCGCGAAATTGTTAGTTTCATCTGCTTTTGTTCGCTCGCATGTTCTCCTCCCTCCTTCTGCACGGTGGCTGAATTCGCCTAACACGCCCCGTTTTGTTGTACTCGCCAGCGCAATCCCTCTGCCTAGCTGCCGACGCAAACAAGTTGTTGTTCGCTCAGGACGTCATTTTTTTTGATGACGGTGCTCCCGCTGCAGCGTTGGCCAGACTTCAGGATCGGCGCTCTGCTCCCGCTGTCCAGCATGGCGCTCTCGCCCCTGCGCTGGCCCCACTCCTTGATTCGAGTCCTTCCACCTTCCCTCCACCACCTTGATTCGAGCCCTTCCTCATCGCTGTCGCCCCCCTCCTTTCCCCTCCTCCACCTTCCCCCTTCTGCTCTTGCTCTTCCCGCTCCTACTCCTGCTCTTGCCGCCTCCGCTGTTCCTCCTCTTCCTCCTTCCTGTTCCTCTTCCTCCTGCTCATCCTCCTGCTCGTTCGTCGCCTCCTCCTCCAGTGTGCACAGCTGCCCTTTCTGATCGCGCATCGCCTGATGGGGTCACTCTGGGGAACCAGGTCCCCAATGACACCCACTGGCGGACAGCCTAGAGACCAGCGCACTGGCACTGGCTGGGTGGGAGAGGCAGGGTGTCAGCTATGGCGCCGAGCGCCCCCAGCTTGCCTCCCTCCCCCTCTCCCTCTCCCCCCCTCCCCCCCCCCCCCCCACTGCGCCCCTCCATAAGCCGTCGTCCGTCTGGCCGGTGGAGTGTGCGGTCGCTTCGTGTCGTGTGGACGCGGCGGCCAGCGACCCCCGCGCGGGCATTCTGGGTGAAACGCCGCCAGCAGCCCAGAGCCGGCGAAGGTCGAACGATCTGGCGATCGGAAAGCCGCCGGGTGTCCACGAAGGAGGAGGAGGAGGAGGAGGAGGACAAAGAAGAAGAAGAGGAGGAGGAGGAGGAGGAGGAGGAGGAAGAGCATGTTTGGAAGGAGGGGGGAATGGGGAACAGGGGAGTAGGAGGAGGAGGAGGAGCAGGAGGAGGAGGAGGAGGAGGAGGAGGAGGAGGAGGAGGAGGAGGACAAAGAAGAAGAACAAGAAGAGGAGGAGGAGAGGAGGAGGAGGAGGAAGAGCATGTTTGGAAGGAGGGGGGAATGGGGAACAGGGGAGTAGGAGGTAGGAGGAGGAGGAGGAGGAGGAGGAGGAGAAGGAGGAGGAGGAGGAGGAGGAGGGAGGAGAAGGAGGAGGAGGAGGAGGAGGAGGCTTGGAAGGAGGGGGATGGGGAAGAGGATGGGGGCAGGAGGAGGCGGAGTGGCCAGGTGCTCGGGGCAGCAGGAGCCGGGCCCGAGGCCGACGCGGCCCGCGCGTCCGTCCGAGAGCAAAAGCCCCCCCTGGCGCCACAAGAGAGCGGCTGCGCCCAGGCAGCCCCCCCTCTGCCCCTGGCAGGGCGCAGCTCGACTCCGCCTCTTCCTCCTCCTCCTCCTCCTCCTCCTCCTCCTCAACCTCCTCCTCCTGCTCCTCCTCCTCCTCAACCTCCTCCTCCTGCTCCTCCTCCTCCTCCTC